TATATATATATATATATATATTTATATATTTATATATTTATATATTCATATATTCATATATTCATATATATAAATATATAAATATTTAAATATATAAATATATGAATATATGAATATATAAATATATAAATATATAACTATATAACTATATAAATATACAAATATATAAATATATAAATATAAATATGTGAATATATAAATATATAAATAAATAAATAAATCAAAAAATTCTGTATATAGTTATCTGTTTACGTATATATATTTTGGCTGCGTAGCGGTTGCCGTTTCGGGTGTATGCTCAGCTGGTTAAGAGAAACCGGGAGCTGTTTGTGTTGTGTTGCTGCTGCTGTTGCTGCTGCTGCTGCTGTTGCTGCTGCTGCTGTTGCTGCTGCTGCTGCTGTTGCTGCTGCTGCTGTTGCTGCTGCAGCTGCTGCGTCGGGTGTCTCGACTGTCAAAGGCGACGTGGAGAATGGGCAAGGTTATAGGAGACTACGCCCCTTCATTTAGAGGTATGCAGCAGCAGCAGCAGCAGCAGCAGCAGCAGCAGCAGCAGAAGCAGCAGATGCAGCAGCAGCAGCGGCAGAAGCAGCAGATGCAGCAGCAGCAGGGCAACTGCTTCGATGCAACGGCGGCAGCTGTTGCTGCTGTTGCTGCTTTCGCGAGCTGGAGAACTGCAGAGCGAATGATACAGATATTGTTCTACTGCTGCTGCTGCTGTTGCTGCTGCTGCTGTTGCTGCTGCTGCTGCTGCTTGTGCTGTGTTGGTTTGCTGCAGCTGTTAATCTATGGAAGCCCTACATGACTCACACCTTTTGGCTTTACTGCCTCCTGGATGCGATGCTGGCATCTAGCGTAGGAGCAGCAGCAGCAGCAGCAACACCAGCAGCAGCAGCAGCAGCAGCAGACGGCAACTCGAAGGGAGGGGGGGCCCCCAAGGCAACAGAAACCTCTTCATCACACCTGCAGCAATCTGCTGCTCCGGGGGCCCCTCAGCGTTTGCCTCGTACGCATCAGGCCGCACCTAGCTGCTGCTATTGCTGCTGCTGCTGCTGCTGTCGCTGTTGCTCGTGTTGCTGCTGCTGCTACTGCTGCTGCTGCAGCTGCAGCTATTGGCGTTGCTCCCGTTGCTGCTGCTGCTGCTGCTGCTGCTGCTGCTGCTGCTGCATGCATTATATCG